CTCCATTCAGCAGCCCAGCCGATATAAAGGGGTTTCCCAAACCAGAGAGCCAGGAAAACCGCAACAAAAAACCAGAGGAGATCAAAATGAGCAGCGCAGCTCAGTCAGACAAGGATGCAGAACTGGAAGCGACACTGAGGAAGTTCCCTCCTCCAAATTACTACCTCCATGCCTTCTACTACACGTGGTATGGAAACCCAAAGATTGATGGAAAATACATACACTGGGACCATCCACAGCTGCCACACTGGGACGTTAAGGTAGCTCAGGGATATCCACAAGGGAGACACAGCCCACCTGATGACATTGGAGCCAACTTTTACCCTGCTTTAGGGGTTTACAGTTCTAGAGACCCCTCTGTTATAGAGGCTCATATGCAGCAGCTGCGTACAGCAGCCATCGGTAAGACATCAAGTCACTTTTAATTATATACCACATTTAAAACAACAGGAGCTGAGCCAGAGTGCTTTCCAGGCAGGCAATGCAATGATGGCAAAATATGAATAAAAAGAAGTCATAAATAAAGTATAACAATAGAAATAACACTAGAAATAAAAGACCAGTAAGAAAAATTTAAACGCGTACTTGACTAAAAGCTAGTGAAAATATATACAGTGCTGTATAAAAAATATTGCTCCCTTCCTGATGTCTTAATTTTTTTCACACTGTACACATTTCTTAGAAAACATCTTGATCCCCAAAACCTTCAGGAAAATATTCTGTGGACTGAACTTTTTGGAAGGTTTGAGTCCAGTTACATCTGGCATGAAACTAACACATTATTTTATTTTAAAAAAAAATCATGCCAACAGTCAAACACGGCGGTGGTAGTGTGGTGGTCTCGGGCGGCTGGATGACTTGCTGTAATTGTCGAAACCATGAACTCTGCTCTCTACTAGAAAATCCTAAAGCAAAATGCCCGGCCATCCTTTTTTTCCCTGAAGCTCAAAGAACCTTGGGTTTTGCAGCTGGAAAATAATCTTAAACACATCAGCAAGTCCACCTCTGAATGAAACAAAAACAAAATGAAGGTTTTGAAGTGGTCTAGTCAAATCCTTAAACAGGCCGTCCATGCGGGAAA